TAACCATAACTTAATACCCATTGATGAACTTCTCCCTTTTCCTTCTTCTCCTTGACTTTCCCCAGACTACTGTAACCAACATTCTAATCTCAACTCTTATAAAATCAATTTTTTTGGATTCTACCTGTGAATGATATTATCTAGTGCTTGTCTTTCTGTATAACCTGGGTTATTTTACTTAGCATAATGATTTCCAGGTCCATCCATGTGGTCAGAGATGACAGGATTTCATTTTTTATGGTTGAACAGTATTCTGTCGTACATATGTTCCACATTTGTCTTAGCCATTCATCAATTGACTCTGTGTTTAATTATTTCAATTTCTTAACTAGTAGCACACTAACTTGGATCAAGCCAACATCCCCTCATAAGACTGGACTGATGAATACCATAAAATAACTAGTCATTACAGAAATATAAAGAGTAGAGAATAGAATGATGGTACTGGAAAACTGGGAGATGTAACTAAGAAACTAAATTTCAAACATCTCACCATTAAAAATGACAAATAGGGCCAGGGATTTAGCTCAGTGGTTCCACTGTCTGCCTCACAAGTACAAGGGCCCAAGTTTGATCCCTGGTACCAAAAAAAAAAGAAAAAAAAAAAAGAAATGACAGATAAGTGAGATGAATACATTAATTAGTTTGGTTTAATACTGCCACATTATATACATGTATCAAAACATTTCAATGTAAATAAATACATTTATATAAATAAATACATTTATATAATAAATAACACTAATAATACTGTTTTTAAAAAGATATCGGAAGAACTACTTTCTATAGAGCACTTAACTATGGGCTAGGCAATGTGCTCAGTAATCTCTTTACATGGCGTAACCCATTTAATTCAATAGCCTTGTCTTACTCGTGCCCATTGTAGAGATGAGGAAACAGAGGTATACTAAGATAAGTTATTTGATCAAGGTCATATAACTAGGAAGTAGGATCTCACAAAATTACAAAATGAAGTGGCTATACATTCCTGGGTAACAGGGCACCTAGGCTTTTATCAACTACCCATGCTCTTTAGTAGCTATTTCAAATGCTTCCCAAAATTAACATGATTCCTTAACATTTTTCCTCTATCAACAGAAGATTTTGCCTTCCACCTCCCAGAGCAGGTAGACATCATTAGGCATAATATTTAAAATATTCCATGACAAAAAAATTCTCCTGGATCCATCTATCCCTTCCTCTTATGTTGGCCCTTCCTCCTAGCCAAGGTTAACTCAACTGCAGGCACTCTGGATTCCATCCTCTAACTTTATCCAAGGCCACATCCAGCATCATTCATCCTTTTTTCCATGTCTTTTATTTGACTATTTTCCTCTCAACATGTAAACAAGCTCACATCCTACTGTTTTGTAAAAGTAAAAATGAAACCCAGGGTTCCCGCTAGCCACTACCTCTTTGAAGTCAACTGCTTGAACAAGGAAAATGCATACTTTCTGTTTCCTCACTGTCCTAGTAACTTTCTCCTCACTGGGATAAAACACCACCAGTGGCCAGCCATTTCTGATTCATCCCAGTCTCTGAATGTGAGACTAATTGAAAACATTTTAAATATGAACTATAATATTTCTCCCCTGTTCCCATAAAGGCTCATGTTCATTTCATTATGCAGTGTATTTACGTCATCACTGAGAGTCAATAAACTCTTAGTTCCATCATTGCTGAAAATTCCAAAACCAAAGTCACCTCTAAAACTCAAGGAAAATTATTAGCTTTATACCTCTATAAAAATGAAAAAGTCAAAGACTTCCACATACAATGGCACAGGGTAAACATTGCCATTACAAAAGAGAGGAATGGGGAATAGACAGAAATTGGATGAAAGCAAGACCAAACCCAGCAGGGCAAACATGTGCAGCTTAGGTTGGGGTGAGATGTAGGCTCCAAAGAATTTGGGAAGCCCCACCACTATCATTTTGTTGCTTGTAGCCCACAGTGCATCTCTCTGGGCTAGCTCCATTCTTTGCCTACAGCTTTCTTCAGCAAATATTCCACATTCCTGGCATCTCCAAATTCCTGGGGTCTTCACTTTACTTCTGGCTTCACTCTCACAGCTTCACATACTGTTTTCTCATAGAAACTGTGACCATTTTTCATGGTTTTATTTTCCTATTAGGTCTTCTGAAATTTGGGTGGAAGCCTCTATGACCCCAAATCTTTTGCAGTCTGCATGCCTGAAAAACCAGCACCAAAGTCAGTTTCCAGCATAAGAAGTAGCGGTGACCCTGTAGACAATGGCCTCATTGGACCTCTGACTGCTTGGATGGCTGAACTCAGGGATATACTTCTCTAAGCATCCCTGAATGAGCAAATGTCCCAGGGATTCTCTTCTCTATGGAAGACTCACATTGGCTGGGGTCTTGATGATTTCTGAGATACTAGCAAGGCATTTTCTTCTAATCCCTGTATAAAGTACTTGGTTTGTTTATAATGCTAATCTTTTCAGCAATTATGCTTTCCTTTGCCCCAGCTTTGCAGGTACTTCCTTTGAACAAAGTATATACTATATATATATTTACCTATATATAGTTTTTCCCTACTTCTTAGCCATTAGGGAGCTTCCATAAACATGATGGGAATGGGCAATGAAAAAAATGACAATACAAATACCTAAATAACGATATGAAATAATATCACAGGAGATGGTAAATGTAAGGGATATGGAAAAAAAAACAATTAAAGGATTGGAAAGTAAAGGGAATGGGATCAAGGATGGCTATTTTATATACGGAGTGTCCAGGGAAGGTCACATTAAACATGACTTTTGAACAGACACCTAAAGGAAGTGAAGTTCAAACCATATCTATATATGAGGATAAACATTGTAGACAGAGGAAACAGCAAATGCAAAAGGTCCTAAGGTTGGGTTTCTGAAATGCAAAAATCCAAGAATGGCCTAAACAGAATACGTTTTCCAAATCCTGTTTGTATGTACCTCGGCTATATAGACAGGAATATCATCCAGTGGTCCCTTGCCTCCAGTGGAAACCGAAGGACTGTCTGATGAGACATGTCACTCCTCAGAACCTGTGTCTAGTTCACCATTCTGCAGTACTTAACACCTGACACAGCAGAAGTGTTCAGTGAGCAGTAACATCACACTTCACTGATGGATGTTGGCATTTAAGCTTGATATTAGACTTGAAAATGTCTTATTTGACTGTGATCAGCAAATATATGCTCAGAACTACATCTGTGCTAAGCCCTCTGCTGCGTGCTGAGCATATAAAGATGAACAAAAAACTCTTCCCTGGGAAACTCAGTCTAGGATGGCATCATCAAAAGGAATCTTCCATAAGGAATCACAGGCTCAAGTGTTCTTATGCTAAAAATGATTTCAAAGTCATACTATGAGTTCCATAATTTTGAAGATATGTACATTGGATCAGGAGACTGGATAATAAAAATAATGATAATGATAGTGAACGTTTATTGAGAGCCTTGTATGCACTAGCCTGTGTGCTACTTTACAAAGAATACTCATTGTTACCACAACACTGACACATGTGACTGACAGGGTAGTATTATTATTTTCATTTTGTAGATGAGAAAACTAAGAATAGGAGTAGTGATTTAAACCAGCCACACCATATTGCTATTAAGGGAATGGGTTGGTATCCTAGCTCAAGCAGTCTTGTACAGAGCCACTGCACTGCACTACTTCCATGGGAAGGATGAACTTACTTAGTTGACCCTTGACTTACCCAGGGAATCATGGCCTTTTACACTTTGGCCTCAGATCTTTCTAGTACTATACAGTATCCAGTTCTTCCTTTCCCCACTACATAAGTAACCACAGCCAAGAGGAATTTTAGCATTTACCCAAACCACCATACCTTCTAACACTGATGGGCTTTGGCTTGGGCAGGATCCCTTACCATTCCTGACTTGATTCAATCATCAAGGTCATTCTCTGTGGAGCTTTGCGCTGCTGCCCCTTCCCACCTGGAGAGAATAACTCTTTTCTTCACCGTGCTTTAACACATCTTTGCTAGGCCTCTGGTTTTGCTCTTAGCTTTCTCTCTCTCTGAACTCTCTTTAGGTCCCCCAAGAAAGTTACCACTATACTTAATACCTACTGTCAGGTCTGTCATAGAGATGGTGCCCATGGAACATTTGGTGAAGAAAGAAACAAGCACTGTGGCCTCATCTGTGTAATTTGGTTTATGGAGTTTCCTTCACACACTTGTAATTTCAGCTTTTCAATGCAGCCACAGATGCTGGGTAGCAAGGGGGTTTTCTCCACTTTTCAGCTTTTAGAAATCCAAGAAAGAATTTCTTCTCCCTACCATCAACTCCTGTCATGGCCAAATAAATTGATCGAGTGTCAGTCAGCATGTGGGAGGGGGCCTGGGTGCATTCTTCTGAGTAAAAGTATTTTAAGATACAAGTTACCTACATGAGTTAAAAAGCTGTACCTCTCCCTCTCATGTGCCCTCCCCTTACTGTGTAAACGTGCATGTACATGAGCACACACACATATGTACACTTTTTACATCTTCTCTCTCCATATTCTCACATCTGAGACTACTCTGGCCCTTTGTTTCTCTGGACGGTAGATTTGGAAATGGAGTTCTACAAATTATAATCTTGGTCTAATTTAGAGAATTAATGTTTTGAGTGAAATGTGAGCAACTAGCAAGTGTCCAGAGGCACAAGGCAGCAGGAAAGCATATGATGGAGGTGCTATAAAGAAAAAATACTTCCAGATTAGGCCCAGTGAATGAGAATCAGGACTTTGCTGAGCAGAGAAACAGAATCCACTGATCCAGATGGGAATACCAAAGTTAGGGAGACAGAAGTTATCCAAAAAAAAAGCTGCACAACAAGTCAGTAGTAACTCCTCATTCCCAAACATTTATTTATACCCAGGATTAGGATGAGGGTCCAACGCAATTTTTTTATGGATGTGCATGTCATACAAGGTCATGCAGCATAGTAGAAAATTATAGGAAGAACTGAGCTAAAGCGATGGAACTTACCTCCTTGTAGAGGTGGGATGATAAACTGGCCCAAGTCTCACAGCAATTCCAAGGTACAGCAAATCCAGCACTCACAGCCATGTCAGTTCCTGTGCTCTGTGTGCAGAAGCAGCAGTCAACTTCTTACCAGTTCAGCAGCTGGATCTTTTCAAGGCAGACAGGACCCAGTAGAGCAATAGAGAATACTCCTACAATGAAAAAATGGCTCATATTGTTTTCGAATTCTTCCCTCTCTTCTCAAGTTTAATCCACCCCCCCCTTTTAAGACATTCAGTTTTAATGCTGGGCCGTCTGGATATTCTTGAGCTAGTGGTACAATTGGATTATTTGTTGCCTCAGCTTACCTGGCCCTAGCAGCCACTTAATACCCCTTAATTTCTTCAGGCAACTGACCTACTCAGCTGGACCCTTGCCACATCCCAGAAACAGGAAGAGGCAAGGTTAGTACAGGACTCATTATTATCCTCAGCCTGACCTCCAATTAGGGTCCAAACAAGACTTTTCTGTCAATATTCAGACTTTTCAGTTAAAAGGGGGTTGGGCTATGCTCCAGAGACCTTATGAAACCCCTCCATGTTTCACAGAAGGTAGGAAATTTGGGTAAGGATCAAACTATGGAAACAGTTATCTCCCCACAAGTAAAAGCTCCGGAGGGATAATCCCAGGGCTCTAAAACAGCTCCTGTCACTGGTGAGCTGGGTACCTGTTTTAGTTACTTTTCTCCTTACTGAGACAAACTATCCAACACCCATGTTAAAGGAGGAAAGGTTTATTGTAGCTTACAGTTCATAGGGGATTCAGGCTGGTCCCAAGGCAGGGTGGCAGAGGGGCATCACAGAGGAGAAATGGTTCATAACATGACAATCAGAAAGCAGCAAAGCAGCAAAGTAGCAGCAGCAGCAGCAGCAGAACCAAGGGAGCTTTTGTATTTCATCCAGAATACCCATCCATTGATTGGTGCTACCCACACCCAGGGTGGGGCACCTGTAACCTCAGCATCATAACCTTAATCGCAAAAGCACATCCTTAATCCCACCATCACACATCCTTGATGCAGCCATCTACGAATGCCACACCTATGACCACAGGAGGCCTTGGGGGACATCTAGATACAGGCCGTAACAGTATTCTTGTAAAAGTGCCTCCACTTCTCTGAGGAGTAGCAGACCCTCGGTAACAGGTCCAAGTTGATCTCTATGAGGCCCTTCCTAAGGGTCCTGGTGTGTTAGAGATGGTCAAACGTAGGGCCGAGGTGCCACTAGGAAATTAGCTTTCCTAGCAGTTGAGCACCTCCTCTGCGTGGCCTAGAGTGCTAGCCACGTGGCCCTGCCTCTAGGTCTAAGGATGGGCCAGTCAGGGTGCTAAGGGATTCTGCGGTCCCTCCAGCCTCTTCAACCTCTCAGCCCCACTTCTCTGCGGCAGATTCTAGCTCAGGGAATAAACTTCTAAATTGCGGCTGGAGAGCAGTAGAGCAAATAAATACAAGGCAGTCTCGGTCTCGGAAATGGGAGCGCCCGCAAAAGCGAAACCGAGATCCGGGGATCCAGCGAGTCTCACCCAGCCTGAACCGGCCCCCTTGAGCCGGCGACGTAGCTACGCCGCCACCCGCCCCACGTAGAGGTGGGAGGGTAGAGCGCCAGCAAGAGGTTCCGCAGCCGCTCCTTCCTCAGACAACACCACGCCCGCGCTTATTTGCATTTAAAGAGAAATGCACCAAGGAAAACAGTGGGCGGACCAGAGCATGCCTATCTACTGTAGCGATTGGGCCACACGCCCGCCAATCAGGGCACGAACGCCCCACCCCATGTCCAAGGAGTCCTGGGGAGAGGGTATGGAGGAGCTGCCCAGAACCTGGGGAAGGGGAATCTGTGCTGGAGGTGACTGTGGAACCTTGGTGGTGGCGGCGGCGGCGGCGGCGGCGGCGGCAGCATCTAATTCAAAGTTCGCCGCAGCCGCC